ACTGCCTGCGTATTGGAAAGGGCAATTGTCTAAGAACACAACCAAAAATTAAAAAAAAATCAGCGCTGCGGAATGACCAGCGAGACTACCACCCGGCGTGAGGGTTGAGCTACATCCCCAATGTCAAAGCTCTCTCGCGCGATGGCCCACCCCCATCCATCTCAAAGCACTAGGTGGGGGTGACCCTGGGACGAATGGCCCGCGCCCTGAGCATGAGCGTGGGCGGGCCGAGCCAACTGGGACCCGCAGCGGGGTCGACTAAGGCTCGAAAGTCTACCGGGGTTCAACCCTACAAAAAATGGTGGAGGTGTCGGGTATGGGGTTTAACTGACCCTTGCGATTCCGAAGGGGGCGCCCGACGCATTGACTTGTACACAACTAAAGACAAGGAAATTGGACTTGTGTTTGCTCTTTCCCTTGTGAGAATCAGATTTGAGAGTGGCTGGGCGCATGGCATGGCCAAGCCTGGAGGTATAACATGCATGCTATGCACTTGATTAGCCATCCCCCTTGGGAAATGGCTCTAGCCCTCCTTCCTCCGGTGCTGGTGTTCGCCAGTCCGGGGAAGCCTTGGGCAAGTTGCAGGTCCCAATGAAAATCCCGCGGCGGAGTGGTCCGATCGAATGGGTGCCCCTCTCTCCTCTTCTTTGAGCCCAGCGGGCTCATGCACTTTGCACTTTGAAATGCTTGAAGGAACCAACATGAACACAACGGGTCATCGAGAAGGATCAACCCCACCCTATGAAAGGACAGACAAGTGAAGAGAAAGGGAATGAAGGGAGTTGCTAGACTCCAAAGAAAACTAGCTCACCTTTGAAGACTCTCACGAGAAGGAACCAACCACTGTGTATGAAAGTAGGGGGAGTGACACTCATTGTCCTGAGAGAAAACTGTGAGCTATGGGTAGGAAGCGTTCGGTGCACCAAGGAAAAGGCACTTGTATTATGTGTGTCCCACTTGGGACTTGTGATTTGCATGATGGGATATGAGCGTCCTGCCTTTCGGAAGGAAAGGATGGGTCTGCACCGGCCGGTGCAGGTTGCGAAACGTCGCTCTCTTTTGAGGTTGCCGGGTGTCCGTGTGTGGAGGTCAGGCCATCGAGCTGTCGGACGGGAGTTTGTCACGCCAGTTGATTAGTGTAGCATTCTCGTTCGGGCAGTCACGAGCATGGCTCGATGATCTTGCCCGGGCGGGGTGCGAAACGTCTCCTCAGGCGGGGCTTAGCCTGTTGACCGGCGAGGGGAGTACCACTGCATGCGAGGCAAGGAAGGAACCTCGGAGACGATTAGTAGCTTCTCGTAGCACGGTTTGGGAAAGGCTGATTCTTGTCGGACCGATGGAAGTGAATGCCCGGACGGCTGACTATTGCTCCTAACGRGGTGCGCAGGGGTAATTCCCGGTACCAACGAGGGTATGCAAGAGCGGTAAAACGGGATGGGGTATTTTGGGCAAATGGAGAGGGGTAACACCCTGTGCCGGAGCCTGGGTACCGCGCKCGCGAYGGTTGAGCTGCGCTTGAGGTATGGGATAAAACTCTACCGCTAGTACCAGCGGAGAGACCATATTGGGATAGGCCGGTGAGGAGATGACCGGCCCGCATGTGAGATTGCTTGATTTTTTTGAGTTCCCCCTTTGTAAAGATTGATTGAGCTTGGATTGTTGGACGGGCATAATTCTAAGTCTATTCTCCCCTCCCCATCTAAGTCCACACGAGTGAGAGATGATTGGAATGAAGGAGGATAGAGGTCAGTCAGAATGGAACCAAGAGAAAGAATGTGGGAAAATGGATGGCCGACCGGGGGTACTGTGGGAAGGTACTTAGGAATGGGGAGGTAAACTAGGGAGACCTTGATGAGGGGTCTGAAATAATTCTCATTTAGGACGAGGGTTGACCTAACCAGAAGGGACCGTTTGGTACTCTCTTATGAAAACAGGGGTCGGGTGCTAGAAACAAGATGGCGCGGTGGTAGTCTTCCCCGGTCTATACCAGCGGTCCGGAAATGCCAATAGATGTAAGAGACGGGGTATCGGTCGTCCTCCCGGAAGATGGGACGTGGACAAATTTTGAGCCAACATATCAAACCGTGATGCTGGAAGGGGAGGACGTGATCCTTTGGATAGAGACAGTATGGGCTAACGTCAGCTTGACAAGGTTGTCGCCGAGTTTAATGGATTTGGAGTTCCGAGGGACTGTGGAAGCCTGGGGGTGGGTCTACTTGTCACAAGACAGGGAGAATGCTATGGCCATAGATTTGGCACTCGGGAATCCGCCGGACGAGTTGTTTAGGAAGGCAGAAGCGGAGGTTGTATGGGCTGCGTGTCAGCGGAGGGGAATGGAAATGGAAAGGGTAGATGTGCGGGTGGAACTTGGGGATAGGGGAAGCGTGAGGCGACCCGTCAGAACCATGCGATGTGTGCTGCCTCCCTTTCTGGTGGATGCGGTCTTCGGAACCCAGAGCAGGCTAGTACGGATCTGCCAGTCCATGATGACCCTCGGACTATACCAGTGCGCTAGGCAAGACTTCTTTCGGTTGTCGGTAGGAATGGGGCCGTTTGAGGGGAATTGGGGGGAGGAGCTGGCTCAGATGCTAAACTGCCTTTAGCGTAGACAATGTTTTTGTCCCTAGCTCCGTGCATTGGGGAATAGTCTACAGAAATGTGACAATAGGGGAGATATTCCTGGAAGGGGTGAGGCAGTTGTTCTACAACGAAGAGGATGACTTTAGTGATTTGGACGAAGATGAGGAGATAGAGGACTGGGACTTCTAAGGAGGGTGACTAACTTAGGGAGACCGAGTGGCTTGGTATTGTGCAGGAAGGGAAAAGATGACTAGAGAGGAAATGATGATGGAATACACCTTCAAGGGATGGGAACCAAGGCGACTCAGAGGAGGAATAGAAATGCCTATACCAGCCGAAAACGAGTGGAGGGGAACCACGTGCGACTGGGTTGGGTTTGAAGTTGCCCCGAGGTTATCATATGTTTGGATAAAGCGGATTTGGAACCCGATAAGGGAAGAGGAAGGTTGGGACGAGATGGCAGAAGACAGAGTTGAATCGGTTGGAACGGTCATCCTTTCCTAAGACCGGTGGCGCCTATTTTGCACTATGATAGTGATGGGACAGGATCCGATGTGGCTTCTGGGGGATGCAGAGGCGTGAACCCGAAAGGAAGGCAGGAGGTTCGCCAACGAGGGATGGGACGAAGTCAATAGCAGAGTTTTGATGGGGGGATGGAAGGAACTCAAGCCTCCCAGCCTACGAACAACGGCGTGGGTGCCCGAGTCCGTGGCCGAGTGGTTTGGGGGTTTCGAGCACGTCGTAGACGTGGCCGGCTCCATGAAAGAAGTACACATAGAGTGTGCCTGGCTGACTGAGGAATTCTATAGGATCTCGTTAAAATATGGGCCCTTCTACGGAGATAAATCTGGGGAAATCCTCACCGTCCTGAGGGTAGGCAAGTATGACCGCCTAGAGGTAGACGCGGAAGCTTGGGACGCCATAGTTAGCCCGGAGGCGGCGGCCGCTCCATCCTACGCGGATGATGTCGTTAAACTGTTTGAGGTACTGTGGTTCGATTAAAGGGACCAGGAAATCGAATGCCACGGAGTGTGAAGGACGCATGTAAAACTGGGGTGTAACATAAGAAAAGGGGGGGGCGTGTACATTAGCTTAGCAGATCGCGCGAGGGGATTAAAACAAGGGAAGGTGTCCGGCCATCATGGGCACGAAAGTGGGACACAGGACAAGAAAAAAAAAGGGGGGGACATAAGCGGGAAGGGAAAACGGTAGGAAGATGGACAGTTGCTGAAGAACGGGCCATAAACCTTTCTATGTGGACTATGTAGGAAGTTACTGAAACAACAATGGCGGCAAGACGTGTGCGGACTGAACGCCAGCCCCGGTACCCCGGACCGCCCTGGAATAACGGCGGGCGATGGGAAGTGTCCCTTCCGTCAAATTCCAACTTTCGGGGATCCAACGTGGAATGGCGGGCCGTGACTCTAGGGAGAGACAACGCCTTCATGTTGGTGGAATGTCGGTGGACGGGGATGAGACTCAATCGGGGGCCTGGGGATGACCTGTTTTCCAATTTAAAGGTAATCGGGGTCCTGTACCTACCCGAGACTGGCTGACACTTGCTGGGGATAGGAATAGCGCAAGGCCACGAGCTGGCTCCCGTCTTTCAGAGGTCGGTCCGAGTGTTGACGCGGATAGGACAATCTGTCAGGGGTAGAAGAAACGTGGACTTACTTACCAGGGTGGAAATGGGAGGTTGGAGGGAATTCAGGGTACCAACCACGCCGCTGAGGTGTCGGGTCCCCCGATTTATGATAGACCTCATCTTCGGGAGCCTCGCAAGGGCGCAGGAGCTGGCAGACTCGGCCGTAATCTGGGTAGACCGCTTCCCCTATCAGACCATCGGGATGTTCTATGACGTAACCATGGAACATGGGCCATTCTGGGAAAACAGGGCCCATGAATTACTGGAAGTTATCCATATCCTGATATTTGGGTTGCCACGAGGACGAGAACGGGACATCTAGGGGCGGGCCAATAGGGCAAATCAAGTATAGTCCGCTATGTACAGGGGCTCACCGATGGAAATAAGGAAGGACCTTCTGACCCTAACGATCAAAAACCGCTAGAAAATAAAAGGGGGAGGGTAGACTCCCAATGGTTGTCGTGACCCTGGAGGTCGGAAAGGGGAATACTGCTCGGGAAACTTTCCTTAGTGGGATGCCTAACCAGGACTCCTACGCGCCGACCCGACGGAATAGGGGCACTCTAAACGAGCCTGTGATAAAGGGAACTAAGTTATGTCCCTTAGCTCGGTAGGGCGGCAGGGTCGATCGCGGCTCCTTCTTAGGGAAGCAATCGGGAAACGGAAATGGGGAGAAGGCTACCACCCGAATAAGGATAAGCCAACGAAGTCGGAACCTATGGAACCTAAATGCCTCGCGCTGCGTGTGTCCTAGGGGATCCTTTGGTTTATGCAGAACTAGTCAAAATGGCAACGGAGGATGAGACGGATAACCGTAGGAGCGAAGGAGGACCAAGCTTAGGAGGCAGTGCCGTGCAGAGCGAAGAGGGTCAGAAAGACAGAGAATCGATAAATCCGGATGGTACGGAAGGGAACCGGAAGGAAATCTCCTCAGGGGAAAGCGCGGGGAAAGCCGAGGGAAGCAGGCAGGGGACTCAGGAGACGGGCAAAAATAAGGATAGGACAAGCCCCCGGAATTTAGAGGGAGCCGTGTCTAAGAAAGTGAGGGTCACGGATGCGAGGCGCAAACTCGCAGAGATAGAAAAAAGGACCGCAGAGTACAAGGCAAGATTGATCGAGGAAATGATGACTGGAAACGAAGAAGGCCCTCTGCAAAAGGAACCGCGGGACGAACGGAAAACCGGCCGAGGCGGAATTGGGCAAGGGGAAAAGGTTAGTGACCGTGGGGGAACACCGAGCAAAAGGAGGAAGGAGAGAGAGAACTCCCCGGGGATGGGAGCAGAGAAAGCTACGAACCCCCCAGCCATAGATAGTCGGGCTAGCCGTCTGCCGACCACGCCGGCGGTAACACGAGGATGTGAAGGACTCTAGAGCCTTAGGGAAAGGGTGCTGGGATGGTTTGACTCGGAAGGAACTGTAAAGACTATGGCGGGCGAGGCCAGTAGCTCCGAAGGCGGCCTTAGGAAGATAGTATCGTCCCTCGCGCGAGCACTAAACAAAAACCAAGGCTACCTAGCGGACGCTAAGAAAAAGTTGACGTTTGACGGGGCAAACATCACGGAGTTCCTAATAGATTACGAGAATCTGGCCGCATTGTTGAAATGGACCGAAGAAGAAAAGATGGACCACCTGGGGCAGCATGTGTCTTTGAGCTTGGGGCGGGACATAATGACCATCGTAGCCCCGAGTCGATCTTGGAAGGAAACCCGGGATGTAATGATGAGGAAATACTTGGCAACAGAGAAAATGGCAACGGAGGCCGATTTAGCGGCAGTGCAGAGGAAGAACAACATATAATGACTTCCTACGGGAGTTTACCCTGGTAGCACTAAGGATTCCCCGGGTTACGGACGGGATAATGAGCAAATACTTCCTCGGCCAGTTCTCCGAGTTTGACAAAGACAAGATTCTGTCGGCTTACCAACAGACGAGCAAGTTTGAGATGTTGATTTTAGCAAATCAACGGATCTGGCCGAGAAGACAGTAGTGACTGAGAAATTGGCCTTGCTTAAGGAAGGGGAGGTCATAGATCTGATTGGTAGGACAGGTGACAAGGTGCAGAATGGGATTGAAAGTCTACATGAACAGGTGCATAGAGTCGATAGCAAGATTGAAAGGGTGGAGAACGCGGTACTGGTTATGCAGGCACAAGTATCCCGACCCGCCCTCCCTCCCCAGGAAGCCGTAGTTCCGCCAGGAGTAGCCAATCGAGGATTCGGACGGAGAGATCCCGCCAACGAGCAATGCAAGTATTGCACCGTGGTGGGACATTTTGTGCGCGCGTGTCCAAAACTCAACCATGATATATTAAAAAGGAGATGTACCAGGTCGTTAAAGGGAGAGATATTCGGACCGCAGGGAGAACGGGTGAATTGGAACTCGCCAGGGGGGATGTGGCGAGCCATTGTCATGCTCAATGGGCTAGAGATAATGGTCGTAGACTCTGAGCCGGTGGTCGATATCATCTGGGATCAACTTCGGGGATGCGGGCCGCAGGTCAACTTCATTCTGGAATGTCGATCATCGATCCAAATGAGGAGGTCTTATTATAGCTTTTGAGAACGATCAAAAAAATCTGGATTTCAACAGATAGCACTATCAGGCCTGTATCCATATACCGTCACCAAACTGACCCGTATAAGCGTTGTCTACACTCTGTTTGTAGCGACCCCTGCGATGCCCGTTCAACTGACATGACCCGTCAAGTCACCTAGCACTCATTCCCTGATAGTTGTTCCCCTCTCTCTCTCCCTCGTCGTTATGGCGAACTCAAGATTGATGAGCGCGACATCAAAAGGACAATTGGTGAACGCGGCAGAGGGGGACGCACAACAGAGAACATCAGGGCGTTGTCGGGGCCGTACCCTGGAGGACTTTCGAGCCTTCGTCGACCCCACTACGGGTCCCACTTGGCTCGACCCGCCCACACTCACTCTCAGGGCGCGGGTCGTTCGTCCCAGGGGCACCCCCACCTAGTGCACATGAGATGGATGGGGTTGGGCCAATAGGGCGAGAGAGCTTAACATTGGGGATGTAGCTCAGCCCTCTAGCCGGGTGGTAGCCTTACTGGTCTAGGTCCGCAAGTGTAAGGTTTTCGATTCTCTGTTTGTCTTACCAGGCAATTGCTCCTTCCAATACTCGGGCAGTCCAGGGAGGTTCATTGAGAACTTTCTCTTCTTTACAATGCGTAGGCTAAGCGTTCTCCTTAGGCCACGCACCTCTTCACTAACGGCCCTAGTTTCCTATAGCATCATCGGGGCGGCTCGTCCCTTTGCCCCTAGCCCCTATCTTTTCTCTAGTGGGCCTATGCATACATCTCCCAGGTCTCGTGACCACCCTTAGTCCTTCCAGGCGGTCCTACCGAACTCGCGACCCAGCCACGACCACACACCACGTCAAAGTCAGGCTCCGACCCCATCCCCGACCCTTAGTCTTTTCAGGTCGCGCCAGTCATGCAATCGTCAAAGCCCAAAATCCATCCCGGCCGTTCGAGATTCAAACCCCCTTCTCCTCATTATGGTTCCATGTCGCACAATCCCTTCATTGCCAGATCGTCCAAGCCACTTGCCTGCAACACATCCAAATAAACATGACAATGGCATACGTCCCTCCCCGATGGGGTCAACACACCGCCCCTCATGCAAGTCCAAGTCTTCCCTTTCCTTTTCCGTGCTTTTGGGTGCCTTCCTTCCTTCCTCACAGTCAACCCACACTCTTCTTACTCTAGCATGCAGTCGAGGAGGTGGTTGAGTCGACTGACCTTGTCCAGAACAACACTCCTTTTTGCCCTCACCAACGTCCTCAATAGTCTCGTATCCTTCTCCTTCTTGGTGGCACAAGGGACCGGCAGCCCTTCCCTTGCCCTCACTTTCCACCAAGTGAGGACCAAGTTCCTTTCCGTTCGTTCCCTGGCAATGTAACGGTGAGGATAGAAGTTAGTCACATGCCATCGAGGGGAAGGGGTGACGGAAGGCTTTAGGGGTTAAGGGATATTTTGAAGGGACGGAGGAAGATGAGGGGAGAGGGGGAGATGGAGAGAGAGAGAGCCAGAGAGAGAGAGAGAGAGAGAGAGAGAGAGAGAGAGAGTTTCACATCCTAGATTATCGTCTCATCCTATCCGGTGGCTGGCCTACGGCGGACGGGTGTAGGTAAAGGAGGAATGCGGAGGTTGAAGGTGCATGGCTATGGTAGACGGATGTAGGTGAAGGAGGAGTGTGGAGGTTGAGGGTGCCTGGCTATGGTGGATGGGTGTAGGTGAAGGAGGGAGATGGAGGTTGAAGGTGCATGGCTATGGTGGA